CTCTGCCTCCCAAGTGCTGGGATTAAAGGCGTGCACCACTACTGCCTGGCCCATGACAGGTTTTTACCCTGCTGATTAAAGTTCAGACCAGAAGTGGACGCTCCTGGTCCCCCACAAGACAGTGTGGCTGTGTCCTGATTCAGCTTGATCTGCTCTTGCGTTTTCTGTACATAGCATCGGAATCTGAACCCTTACACGCGCGTCTCATAACTTCCAGTGCACACAGCATCAGTGTATAACACGGCTATTGACTTCAGACTGAGGATATAGCTCAGTGGTAGACCTTTTGCCTGGCACACCATAGGTCCTAGGTTTAAATCCCATTACTATCAGAAAAAATCACAAAATGCACAGTTTGATGCTTTTCAAGTATGTATACAGTTGCACGGCCTTCACACAACTGTCATTTTGAGAACAACACCTGAGAAGCAGAACCCCGAACCCTCTCACAGCCTTCTCGCCAGCCCAGAGGAAGCAGCCACCGACCTACTTCCCAACTCTGTAGACTCACTCATCCTGAATATCGTCTGCTGCGGGGTCTTTGACTGGCTTTCTGATTTAGTATATTTGTGGAGTTCATCTGTGTAGCAACGTATATCCGCACACCAGGCCTTTGCCAACCGAATAATCTTCCACCTTGTCTGTGCTTTTAAATGCAGAAACACATCCTTGTGGATTACGGACTTCGAAGAATCACATTCCTTATTGCCCGAGAGGTCAGTCCCAGTCCTTACTCCATCCTCTTTCCTGTTCTCTGAGCCTTGGACCGGGTAGGTGATAGTTATTTTCTAGGGTGAGATAGAAGCAATTAGTTGCTAGGACAATCTTTCCAGATGACTCGGTGTGGAAGCAGCCTGAGCCGTTTTTACTGATCACGGAATTCACAGGGGCAGGGCTCAGAGTCTACCTTCACTGAATTGTCTCTTGTATGGATTTCTTTTGGCAGAGAGAATTTCCCAAGTTCTTCACCTTCAGAGCGAGAGATGAGGTAAGAGGAAAGGGGGTTGAACATTATGATTTCTGGGTATCCTTCACGTTTCCCCCAAGGGCGTGCTCAGAGCCTGAGGTGTGGGCCTTCACTTTTCCCTGGGACCACACTGCCAGAAGAACCCCCAAGTATCCTGAAGTGAGTTTGGGCACACAGGTCTCTGCTTAGTAAGCTGGCTGTCTGCTTTATACATAAATCTTTATTGGAGCATGGTTACAGCTGTTTGATTAGCTATCAGATGTGATTTTCATAGACACTGAGCCTGTATGGCTCATCACCCTAAAACATTTAGTACCCAGCCCTTCGATGTCTCCCGTTCTAGATCAGGTGGCCTTAAGAGCTCAACGCTTTGTATTTTGATGTTTTGGTGTCTGTTTTACTTGGGTAAACGCCATCCTTATTTGGGGAAGGGGACATGGAGACAGGGGTTGGGGGGTGGGTGGTTATGGGGACTTGTTATTTTCTTTCCAGCTCAGTTTCCAAAGCTGCCAGGTGATTCCTTTGAGGGACTTTTACCCATAAAGAAGCCAGGTTCAGAAAGTGAAGAATAAGAGACGCTGACAGACAGCAGCCTCGTGGCTCTTGTATGTCCTGGGGCATGCAGGGCACACTCAGGAGTTGCTCTTGCAATGCTCGTGACCTGCAAACCTCTCGAGCCTCAGAGATGGCTCATGATGAGGTGTCACAATAGGGTCTCATTTCTGAGCACCAGGCTCGGCAGCCTGGAGCCTGGGCCATGCAGGCCTGTCACTGTCACAGTGACAAACGGACTATCCTTTCTCTGGCTGGCCTACAGTTTGCAGAAGACCGGATTTATCGCCACTTGGAGCCTGCCCTGGCCTTCCAGCTGGAGCTGAGCCGGATGCGTAACTTTGACCTGACCGCCGTTCCCTGTGCCAACCACAAGATGCATCTTTACCTGGGAGCCGCCAAGGTGAAGGAAGGGCTGGAGGTGACCGACCACAGGTTCTTTATCCGAGCCATCATCCGACACTCAGACCTGATCACCAAGGTAACGTGACACAGGGTGGCTCTCCTGTCCCCACCATGCAGCTTGTCCCTCTGTTCTGGCCTTCTCTTCCCCAAGTTCCCATCTGGGCTGCATTCTGGGGTTCAGGAGGTATGCTTATCACACAGTGCGCTGTCCTTGCAGACACCTCAGCCAGGGGTGCTTCAGTCAGATTTTTAATTTTGTGACATTTTCTGTATAGAAGAGAGCTTAAGGGGATGGAAAGACGCTGGCTCGTTCAGGGAATTTCTCGTGTTTTCCGATCGGCCACTGGTGATCACATTGTGAAAATTCAGATGTTATTACAAAGTATTTTAAAGTCAAGCTGGGGTGGTGTGATGTGTGCGTCTGAGGAGATGAAACACTCACCACCATCCTGCAAGCGAGAGGAGTTGGGCCTGGAGCCCACATGAAAACTACACAGATGTGGTTCCCTGAGATCCCAGCAGAGACAGGGAACCCCCAGGACAAGTCAGAGTGAGCAAGCCCCAGGCCCCGTGAGACACCCTTTGCCCAGAAATAGAGTGGAAGGCTGGAGGCACGGCCCACAGCTGCTTGTATCTCCAGCTGCAGGGGATCTGTCACCCGTGGACTCCACGGTCACCTGTACTCACTCACATATACCCCCCCACACACATACACGCAATTTAAAAAATTTAAAAAGAAGAAAGCAGAGAGCGATCCATAGAGGACATCATCAACTTCAGGCTTGGACACACATGTACTCACATGTTTCTGAGCATCTGTGTGCATACATGAATACATAGCACATGTCTGCATCATACAGAGACAATACCACACATAGTACGCTTTAAAAAAAAATCATCTGAGAGTGTCAAGCCAGATGTGGAGGTGCACGCCTTTAATCCCAGCACTCTTGAGGCAGAGGCAGGCGGATTTCTGAGTTCGAGGCCAGCCTGGTCTACAGAGTGAGTTGATGATCTTTCTAGAGCCAGAGTCCCAGGATAGCCAGGGCTACACAGAGAAACTCTGTCTCGGAAAACAAACAAAAAAGGGACCAAGAATTCTTCCGTGGAGGGGTCAGCCCGACTGATGGTCTTTCTAGAGATGATTCCATCCTGATGTGGAACGGAAGGTCATGTGGAAGGTCAGAGCCAGTGTGGGCAGGACACGCAGGACAAGTGTTTTCACTTGCGGGCCATGCTCTGTGCGAACAAAGACCATTCACGAGGCATCCTCTTTTTTACATGCCCGTGGACATACTGGGTATGTCGGGGTTAGGGGGCGAGTTTTAAAAAATCAAATTGTCCATTGATGAATTAAAAAAAAATAATTTAAAAAATGACATGTATGTATGCATGTATGTATGTATGTATTGAGGGTGGGAGGGAGCATCACAGCACTTGTGTGGAGGCAGGAGGACAACTGTGGGAGTCTGTCCTCTTACTCCCACTGTGTGGGACCTGGAGACTGAACTCGCGCCGTCAGGCTTAGCAGCAAGCCCCCCCTACTCCCAAGCATGCCCCGATGTCTGAGCATCAGGGTGCAGAATACAGGGACACAAACCACAACAGCTTTCTGACCTCCACAAGGCTCTGCCGTCTCAGCAGACATACCAGGAAGAGCTAGCTAGGTACATGGCCTCCGGCTGAGGCCAGCCTCCTCGTTTGCCCTCTGGCAGGAAGCCTCCTTCGAGTACCTGCAGAATGAAGGGGAACGGCTGCTGCTGGAAGCCATGGACGAGCTGGAGGTGGCTTTCAACAACACCAGCGTGCGCACCGACTGCAACCACATCTTCCTCAACTTTGTACCCACCGTCATCATGGACCCGCTCAAGGTTGTACCGCCGTGGCTCTCCCGGGGGCCCTGGGTGTGTTTTCCCACAGTTCTTCATGCCACATCACTCTGGGGTTGAGGTCCTCCCCGCCCCCACCCGTCCTCCAGGCCCGAGTTCTAGGATCATCTCAGTTAGGGTTAAGTCTTATAAGGACAACATTTAATTGGGGCTGGCTTACAGGTTCAGAGGTTCAGTCCATTATCATCAAGGTGGGAACATGGCAGCATCCAGGCAGGCATGGTGCAGGAGGAGCTGAGAGTTCTACATCTTCATCTGAAGGCTGCTAGCAGAATACTGACTTCCAGGCAGCTAGGATGAGAGTCTTATAGCCCACACCTACAGTGACACGCCACTACAACAAGGCCACACCTACTCCAACAAGGCCACACCCACAGTGCCACACCTCCTCCAACAAGGCCACACCCACTCCAACAAGGCCACACCTCCTCCAACAGAGCCACACTTCCTCCAAGGTCACACCTCCTCCAACAGGGCCACACCAACAAGGCCACACCTCCTCCAAGGCCACACCTCCTCCAACAGGGCCACACCTCCTCCATGGCCACACCTCCTCCAACAGGGCCACACCCTCCAATAGTGCCATTCTCTGGGCCGAGCATACACAAACCATCACAAGGTTGCATGCGTGGTTAGATGCGAGTCAGAGGAGAACAGACCCACCAGTCTGTCCCGTGCCCCCATGTTTGGGCTTGAACCACACGTGTGTCTAGAATGCCTGACAGAGCTTATGCCCTCTCTAGCTCCAGGCTCTGCTGACACAGGAGAGAGCCTAAGGTCTGAGGCTGGGGCATTGTGCACAGGCTTGTGCTGTGGGAGACAGACTTTATTATGCTGATTCTGGAACCAGAGAAGTTGTCAGGATCTGTAGGGTTCACAGGACCCATGTGGATGCCCTGGCCTGACTCATCCACCCAGTTCAGAGGAAAACTGTGACCGCCTGAGAGGCACAAAAAGATAGCGTGACACATGAGCGAGTTACTCACCACCCCATCACCTTGTCACTGACAAGTGGCAGAGCGCCTGCCTGGAATACACAAAGCCCTGGCTGGGTTCCATCCACATTGGTGTTCAGTTGCTAATAGTTTATGTCGGCTGCCGGGCTCCTCTCCTCCTGCACACTTCACTGTCCCCTCACCTGTGTGTGTGTGTGTCGGGGGCGGACTCTGACGGTGGTGTTGTGCTTCCCGGCAGATCGAGGAGTCGGTGCGTGCCATGGTCATGCGCTACGGCAGCCGGCTGTGGAAGCTCCGAGTGCTGCAGGCCGAGGTTAAGATCAACATCCGTCAGACAACCTCGGACAGCGCCATCCCCATCCGCCTCTTCATCACCAACGAGTCCGGCTACTACCTGGACATCAGCCTCTACAAAGAAGTGACGGACTCCAGATCTGGAAACGTAAGGGTGCACCAGCCAGGGTCCGGAGTCCAAACGTCTGGGTGTCAGGCTGAGGGTGGAAGCCACCGTTGCCTCTCCTTGCCTCACCTCAGATCATGGCGGCCTCCAGTAGATAGCTTCAGGGAGTGCTGGATGTGGTAGTTTTCTGTCCGTTCGTCCTCCTGGGCGGAGCCATCGGCCCCCATGGTAGAGTCCATTCTGTGAGCACATCGCCGGTGGGTGTGACTGTTACAGTGCAGAGCTCACTGGTCCGTTAGAGAGACATGCTTCCCCCAAACGCCTTGCAGAAACGAGTTTTGTAAATGAACCCCGTACTATTTTACACATGCATGCATGTTTAAATACATGTGTGTACCTGCATTTATGTGTATACGGGCACTTTTTAAACTTGAAATGAGACTCAAAACTCTCAAGTTGCAAAGGTAGTACAGAGCGAGATATCAGATGAGGTCTACCCCTGACCCAGCTTCTCCCAAGGACACGATTCAGTTGACCGTAGCGCGCTACCTAAACTGTAAAGTGACACAGGTGTCCTGCCGATCATTCAGGTACAGACTCCATGTGGATTCCCATGGTTCTTGTCTGCATACCTTGAGGGCAGAGCTCTGTCTCCCACAGGCCTGTCCTGGTTCCCATGTGGCAAAGGGCATGAGCTCTGAACTGTGGATCTGCATCTCCACTGAACTTTTGTTGTGAGGACTCAGGTTGGGGCGGGACTCAAACCTAGGACCACTGGAAGAGCAGCCAGTGCTCTTAACCTGAGTGGTCTCTCCAGCCCCCCTCATTTTTCTTTATTTCCAATCAGATCATGTTTCACTCCTTTGGCAACAAGCAGGGTAGCCTGCACGGGATGCTGATCAATACGCCCTATGTCACCAAGGACCTGCTCCAGGCCAAGCGATTCCAGGCGCAGTCCCTGGGGACCACCTATGTGTACGACTTCCCGGAGATGTTCAGGCAGGTAAGTCCTGTGGGCTCAGACGTGAACCGCTGTCCGGAGCCCTTCCCCTCCTTCCACAGGAACTCGTTTCTTGTCTTTTTTTTTTTTTTTTTTTGGTTTTTCGAGACAGGGTTTCTCTTTATAGCCCGGGCTGTCCTGGAACTCACTCTGTAGACCAGGCTGGCCTCGAACTCAGAAATCCGCCTGCCTCTGCCTCCCAAGTGCTGGGATTAAAGGCGTGTGCCACCACTGCCCGGCTCCGTTTCTTGTCTTAAATGATACTTCTGAGACTTATTCTAGATGAGGTCTTCCTAGGAAGAATTAATTCACGCAGGGATGACTGACTTGAAGGCGAGAAGGCAGTACATGTGTATGTGTATACATCTTATTTTAAAGTAATTGGTCTTTTGATAATCTGTTTTTATCCCTGAAAACAGTACAGGGAAATAAGAATGAGCCATTTCCCCAGTGACAAGAGCATTCCTGTGTGCTATTTCCCCAGGGACACATTCTGGTTTGTCACAGTGTGTTCCGACAAGGAAATTGATACCAATGCAGTTGATCCTGGCTTTGAGGAATCTTAACCTTACTCTGAGACAATGTCTGGGAGCCAGATGCAGTGGCACCTGCCTGCAGTCTCAGCTGTTCGGGAGGCTGAGACAGGGGCATCACCTGATAGGAGTTGGAGGCCTGCCTATATAGAATAGCGAGACTTGTTCTCTGTAGAAAATAATATTAGGTTTTTCTGATTATTCATTTAGACCAGTGGTTCTCAACCCGTGGACTGAGGCCCCTTCTGGGTTTGAACAACTCCTTCACAGGGGTTGAACGTCAGTTATCCTGCGTATCAGATGTTTACATTATGATTTGTAACAGTAGCAAAATTAGAGTTAAGGAATAGCAACAAAAATAATGTTATGATCGGGGCCACAACGTGAGGACTTGTGTTAAAGGGTCACAGCATTAGGAAGGTTGGGGACCACTGATTCGGATCATGTCATATCACCTATCTGTGACACGCCCACCAGGCCCAGCATCCGACTCCTCGGACACACACAGGCACATACGTGGGAACACACGGGATGTCTCTCTTCTCGTGCATGTGTGCATGCTGAGTTTATTCACACCATATCATGTGGATTCAGGTGCCAGCTGAGCCCGGAGCGTGTCGGATCCCCTGAAGCTGGAGTGATGGGTAGTTGTGAGCTGTCTAACGTGGGTCCTGGGGCTGCTGGAGGAAACTGTAAATCTCTCTTAACCGTTGAGCTATCTGGTACCAAGCTGAGTCAATACTTCGAAAAATATGTCCTGGCTGGGGAAGTGGTTCAGTGGGTAACAGGCTTGTCACATGGGCGTGACAGCCCGAGTTCAGACCTCCACAGCCCCCACTTTAAAAAAAAACAGGTGGCCGGGCGGTGGTGGTGCATGCCTTTAATCCCAGCACTTGGGAGGCAGAGGCAGGTGGATTTCTGAGTTAGAGGCCAGCCTGGTCTACAGAGTGAGTTCCAGGACAGCCAGGGCTACACAGAGAAACCCTGTCTCGAAAAACCAAATAAATAAATAAATAAATAAATAAATAAATAAATAAATAAAATAAACTGGCATGGTAGTGTGTGTGTGTAATTCTGAGCTCTTGGAGGCAGAGGCAGGGGGATTCCTGGGACTTGGTAGCAGTCAGTCTAGACAATAATTGAGCTCTGGGTTCAGTGAGAGAGAGAGAGAGAGAGAGAGAGAGAGAGAG